ATGATGCCTGTAATCCCAAGCCTGCCCACCAGTGATGTATCCACCCTGGCTTTGGGGTGCCTCATTGTCTCCCTTCTTCTGTTTCTCTGTGTATTCTTTCGCTATCCCTATCGCCGCTGGATCTCCCCTCCTCGTGAACCAAACACGCGTGACAACTATGTCGGGGTCAGACCCCGACAAGAATACAACCTTGTCGCACAACTTTTTTAATTTTAAATCATTCAGTGTTCCATGTTCTGTTCGAACAACTGCTTCTTGGTCCAGGTACAGATTCCTCATGAGAACAATTAAGCATTCCGGAATACTCACTTTGCAATGTTGTCCATAGCTTGTCATGATCCATACAATCGAAGGCTTTTGTTTAGCCAGTAAAGCACAGGTAAACATCTTTCTGATATTTTCTGCTTTCAGCCAAGATCCATCGGACATCAGCAGTAATATCCCTCATTCCATGGCCTCTTCTGAATCTGGCTTGAACCTCTGGAAGTTCTCTGTCAATGTATGATTGTAGCCATTTCTTCAATGTATAATTGTAGCCATTTGCCTTTAGCAAAACTTTACTCGCATAGGATAGCAAAGATATTGTCCGACGATTTCTGCATTCCGTTGGATCACCTCTCTTTGTAATGGGCACAAGTACGGATCTCTTCCAATCAGTCGGCCAGATAGTTGTCTTCCAAATTTCTTGGCAGAGATGAGTGAGTGCCTCCTGTACTGTCTCACTTTCTTGAAAGATTTCAATTTTTATTCCATCAATTCCTGGTGCATTGTTCTTTGCCACTTCCTTCAATGGACCTTGGACTTCCTCCTTCAGGATCATTGGCTCTTAATCAAATGCTACATCTTGAAATGGCTGAACATTAACCATATCCTTTTGGTACACTGACTCTGTGTATTCCTTCCATCTTCTCTTGATGCTTTCTGTATCATTCAATAATTTGCCCAGTAAATCTTTCAATAACGAAAGTCGAGGTTTGACATTTTTCTTCAGTTCCTCCACCTTGAGAAATGCTGAGTGTGTTCTTCCTTTTTTGTTTTCTGATCCCAGACCTTTGCACATTTTATTGTATTATTTGGCTTTATCTTGTCAAGCTGATCTTTGAAATTTTCTGTTCAGCTCTTGTACCTCCTCATTTCTTCCATTTGCTTTAGAATCTCTACATTGGAGAGCAAGTTTCAGTGTCTCTTCTGACATCCATTTTGACCTTTTCCTTATTTCTTGGCTTCTCAATGACTTTTTGCTCTCTTCCTGTATGACGTTCTTGATGTCATCCCACAACTCTTTTGGTCTTCGGTCTTTAGTGTCTAAAGTATCAAATCTATTCTTCAGATGATCTCTAAATTCAAGTGGGATATACTCAAGGTCTTATTTTGGCTCTCATGGACTTGTTTTCATTTTCTTCAGCTTCA